GGGGGGGGGGTGATTGCACAACCGATTCTTGGCGGCGGAGATGGTCGGACGTACGACCACGTTCTGCCACCATATCTTGAAAGCGTCGTCCCGTGATACGGAGTGTGCTATGGCTTGTGTTGTAGTCTGTCTGCCCGATTGCCTGTGTGCAATGTGCATGTGGTATGACCTTGCGCTGTGATGAGGGCGGCTCTGCTGCTCTGATAGTTGTGTGAAATGAAGCGCAGAAGGGCAGATGGCTGACTTGTGCAACTGTCGATTATGGTGGCATTGTCGCAAAGTATCTTGTCAAGGAGCAAGATTTCGGCGGTGGTCCATGAAGAGATTGATTGCATGTGATCGTGCAAGGTGGTGGATGGAAGAAGAGGAGTTGTTGTTGCGTTTTCTTTTTCTTTTTCATCAGCGTGAGCGTGCGATGAAGACTACCGGAACCTCTCACATTAGGGCAACCGAGCGAGCGAGTGTTTATGTTGTTCTCACACACACACACACACAGAGAAAGAGAGAGAGAGAGAGAGAGAGAGAGAGAGAGAGAGAGAGAGAGAGAGAGAGAGAGAGAGAGAGAAGGCCGGTTGCTCAGTTACCGCGAACGATGGATGATAAGGTCTCTGCTTGTGTGGCGGTGTGCAGCCAGCTTGATGGTCTTTAAGGACTTGTTGATGAATGAATGCATGTTTGTGCATGTGTATGATTGTTTTTTTATTTTACCCAATTGAATGGCATGCAATGCGCTCCATCCTGCCTGTAATATGTATAGTTATGTACTGTGACTTCTTCGTGTGAGTGCTGAACTGTTTTGGAGGTTGGACCACCCTGAAGACGAGACACTTTCAGTAAGGCGCCCTGCTAGGTCGTTTGGCAAGGCGCGAGGGTTGCATCTGGTCGGTAGAGTCTCATAGCCCGAAGAAAGAACTTAGATCAAGGATAATTATGCAAGCTTCAAGAAGAGACGAGCAGGGGATTTGGGCGGGGGGGTGGGGCGGGGGGGGGCGGTGGCGGCGGGGGGGAGGGGCAGTGGACAGAGGGATCATTTGTATAGCAATTCAAGACTCCGGAGGTTAGCGAAGATGATGACGTGGAAGAGATCATTGTCACGGTAATTATGGTGATGATGATGATGATGATGATGACGATGCAAGTTAGTCCATGGTCCAGTAACAGCTGCTGCTGGTATGGACAGAGGTCACGTTGTTGTGTGGCTGCCTTCTGCCTCATGCCAGCGCCCCGAATTCATATGAGGTGAATTGGGGAGGGTGCTGATGCTGGGGAAAGGAGGAGAGGCCGTGAGTGGCGGG